TGAGACGATGTAGAGTACCGTTGATGAAGTTCGTCTGAACACCACAACCTAATGGGCGGATAGGTTTGGCCTTTAGTCAATTCTAATCGATAGGTTCCACGATGCTCGATCACACGGCACGTGGGTCTCGGTCGTCGGGTGCAGCAGGCAGCTCATGCGCGTCGGGCGCGGATAGCGTGCGGGAACGCGGGTCGCAGCGATCGTGCGTTGGGCGCTGGGCATACGCGCGGGACTGTTGGGATGCGCGGGTGGACGCTGGTAGCTGCTGGGCGAGTGCGCGTGTGTGGCGGGACTCCTTCTCCTACGCGGACTGGCGCTGGGATGCTGTGGATGCACGCGGGCGTGTGCTGCGGCTCTCCTGGGCGTGCGAGGAATAGCAGATACATCGCGAACGGGCGCTGGGATCTCGCGGGCAGGACGACTGGCAGTGGATGCGAACGGGCGTGCGAGCGGTGTTGCTGGGAGCACGTGGACGTCGCTGGGCATCACGGACTGGACTCGGCGGTACGCGACTGCTCGCGGTAGTGTGCGGTTGCGCGTGGTTGGGTTCGGGCGGCGACCGGCGGCAGTTGGCGAGTTTCGGCGATCACTCACGGGGGCGATGGGCGGCGATCGACGGTGATGATGTGATGATGATGACAGGAAAATATGGTTCTTAGAAAGCTTAATCAATTGTACCAAAAAGCCTTCTAGTGGATTACCTAAACACCTATTCCGATTAAACTTGGTGGTGCGTTTAATCGGATCTCCCAAACTCTCGAACAAAGTAATTCTCACGTGTATGTAGATGAGAAAATCGGCCAACATCAACTTGTAGGAGAGATTGGGACATGGTGTATTTATAAGCTCCATTAGGGACCTTAAGGAGGTGCTAAATATGGGCTTATTCCATTAGACTTAGGAATCCTAATTATAATCCAATACTAACTCAACCTAGGAAGAAGATCTCCTACTAATCCATCTCTTCTAAAAGACTCTCTTAACACTAGAGAAGATCGTTGTAGGAATTTCCTTTCCTAATTAAATTAATAATCATGGAATAGAATTAATTCCTAATTTAGGATACCTAATTTTACTCCAATTAATAATATAATGTAGGAAATATATTTTAACGCCCCGTTTGATTATGAATTATTGGAGATTATTATTATTAT